GATGGATGGATGGATGGATGGATGGATGGATGGATGGATGGATGGATTATACAAAGATAATGCAGCCACAAAAATAAGACCTTGTCTTATTTCTGCCGGAAATTCAGTTTAATACATAAAATATAATGAATTATGAAATCTTATTTTACACAGTTGTCCAAGTTTTGAGGAGCTGGACTTGCGCATTTTAATATATTTGTCTCGTGATAAAAACTCTTTTTTTCTATTCCTTGGAAAAAATTCAAAGAACACCAATACAAAATATAGACAGTAAATATTTAAAAAGGGACAGAATGAATGTGCAGATGTTGTAATTGAACTTCTGTCCTAAGTCTTCCAGGATATTTTCTGCTCATTTGATCTTTGTTTTTGTGTAGTTCCAGAGGTGATCGATGGAAACACCCTGACTGCCACTGTCGTGGACCTTAACGCCTGGGTCGAGTACGAGTTTCGAGTGTTGGCCAAAAACAGCGTTGGGATTGGAGAACCTAGTCCCGTGTCAGTCAAGACGAGGACAGAAGATGCAGGTGCACGATCATTCATTCATCTTCTATTCCTCATGTTTGATTTTATGCTTGTGGATCCGACAAGGTCTTTGTTCTGTAGTTCCAGATGCAGCACCAGGTGATGTGGGTGGAGGAGGTGGAAGCAGATCTGAACTGGTCATCACATGGGAGGTAAATCATCAGTCTTATGTTCTAATCCTTTTTATCCTTGAGTGATGTGCTTAATATTTCCACCACACCCTTGTTTTATTGGGTTATGGGTGTCATAAATTTGGAGCCAATTGACGGCTGTCGCTGCGGTCGTTTTCATTTTTCTTAAAGAGTCTACAACCCAGCAGTTAATTTCGTTTATGAAGCTAGGATCAGTGTTGAATTACTGCTGCTGAGTCAAGACTGCAGAGCTCAAATCCAGCAATCATGAACCGGCTCGGTAGCTGAAAGATAAGATAATATTGTCTGAGTCATTAAGCGTTGAGTTATCTCACCGGTTTCCCATTTAATTAAATGCAGAATAACTTTTTATTTAAAAAGCTGCCTATATGATCTGTAATGAGTGCAGGTGTTTTTAAAATGATGTCCTACGACTCGTTTTGTTTTATCAGGTGGGTCACTAAAGTCGTTTGAGCACTTCTGAGTTTGCGGTGGTTGTGTGAGCCCAGCGCTGGAGTGAATGGGAGTGGTTTGTATGTATTTTAATATCACTATAGTTTTGTGTTTCACTCTCAGCCTGTTCCCGAAGAACTGCAGAATGGCGAGAGCTTCGGTTACATCATTGCTTTCCGTGCATTTGGAGAAGTTAGCTGGACCCACGTGGCCACCTCTGCCCCCGGCGCATCTCGCTATGTATACCACAATGACAGCATTGCACCCTTCTCCCCATTTCATGTCAAAGTTGGCACTTACAACAGCAAAGGGCAGGGCCCCTTCAGCCCCGCGTTGACCATTTACTCCGCAGAGACTGGTAAGGATGGAAGCGTGGGGGATCTCTGCAAAGCTATAAAGCCATTTCTCGTTTTTGAAAAGGACAAAATTATGAAAGTGGTTGTACTGCATTTGTTGCATTAGGGCTGTAGAGACCATTTTTAAGGGTAGAAAAAAAGTATAAAGCGTGGGACACAATTGCAAGAGATTTTATGTAAGGGGAGGCAGTTTCTCTCTAAATATCACCACTCTCGCTTAAAAGACTGTATCAAGGTAAAAAACCAGTTGGCATTTAGATCTATGCCTCCGCGCAGCCTGCTGAGAGGGAATCAGTGTGTGGTGTTAGTCTATTTACCAGCTGCACCTTTTTTTGTGATGATTCATCTAAGCAATGATCAAATTTTCAAATATAAAAATGTGAGGAATTTACTCCGCTCATCTCTGCGCGGAAGCGCTCAGTCTCGTGTCGTCTGTTTTCAGAGCCAAGCGGAATGCCGGCGGGAGTTTGGGCCAGGAGTGCCTCAGCCTCCGAGATTGAAGTGAATTGGCAGGCTCTCTCCTCCACCCCTGAACGGGTGCTGGGCTATGAGGTACTTTTCATTCATTTAAATGGAAACTGATATCACACACAACACAATTCAAATGCTTGTCATCACCTCTGTTGTACCTGGAAGCCTTCGCCTTTAAACTGTGTCGCCATGGAAATGGCTGCTTCGGTTGGGCGGCTGGTGTGGATAGAATTACACTTCTTTGTATCAGCATGACAGGAAAACATGCCAGATGGGTTTTAAGAAGAGAAAGGAAAATTGTCCGTTTATAGGCTTTCTGATGTTGGTGTCATTTATGAAAAGGCATAATGCAGGGATCCGTGGTAGAAAGCTTCATGTCAGAGCACCAAAGGATGCCACTGGACCACACCAGAAACTGTAGAACCTCTGAGAGCTCGTGGTACGGGGACCCTTTTATATTTTTTATTGGTTGGAAAGCTCATATGAGATGTGTTAGCGCTCAGGGTACGTGTTGGGGACAACTCTCAGCTAAGAACACACCAAATTTAGGTCAATATCTTTAAAGCTGACTGAGTTATGCGTTTGTTAAGGTTCATTAGCTGTAGCGGCCATCTTGAATCAGGCTGAATCCAAAAGTTATATTGTCTAATTGCACATCCGGAGGTTACTTTCTGAAAGTTTTAATAAAATTCATCCAGTGGTGCAGGAGATAGTTTGCCAACAGACACACACAGAGTTAATTACATTATCACCCACATTTCATTTTGGCAGGTAATACTAAAGTATAATGGGTGTCATCTAGGACCATTTCTTTTCAGGCTTTCAGTTGGGCGTGATAACAAAATTAATATTGATTTTATTCCAAACTTTAGTTGGAATTTGATCCATAATAAACTATTCAAAAGCATATTTTAATCAGTCAGCTTTCAATTAGTGGAATGATTAATACTTCCTACCATTTGCATAATACTGATGTATTGTAGAGCTGAATAACGATGCAATAAATCCATGAGCGACTTGAGCGACAAGAAAGAAAAGGCCTTGATTGTTCCTTTCTGGAATCGCTTATTTGTTTCATTCATTGATCAGAAATGATTTACCGCTGCATGCTTCTCTGCTGGGGAATTTCTGCTTTTGAATGTTGTTTGAAAAAAAAAAAAAAATGCTAAGGAAAAAATAAGAATGAGAATACATATACCACTGTCTACAATATCCACAATTTGTTTAAACATTTTTAAAATGATTAGTTCGTCAAACGAATCTGTGAAGTTGTTTAAAGAAAATAATTAATTTCACGCCAACATTACAGAGCTACCGTTTTATTGGCATTTTACTGTAACTGTGATTCCTGAGTTATTACAATGTGCAAAAACTTTTGATATGAGATAAGGAAAACTGACCTCTCGCTGCAAGACGCAGCCAGCAGTCTCATTTCAAGGCAGCACGTTTCTCTCGGGCCATTGGGAACGATTTCTAACATGGTCTCAGGCTGCATGAACACACTGCTCCAATTCAAAGATGTCTCTTTCAATTCTATGCTGTGACACGTTCTTTGTCTCTGAAGGTGGTTTACTGGGAGGATGACACCAAGCCAGAGACTATGGGGAAGGTTAGAGTGCCATGGAACCAAACCTCGGTCACAGTGAACAGCTTGGCGGCACACACACAGTACTTTTTAACAGTCAGCGCCTTCAACACGGCGGGCACGGGCCCCTTCCTTCCTGCGATCAACGTCACCACAAAAAAGCCACGTGAGTTGCAGCACAACTTTTCATTCAGCCTTTAGTTATACAGGTTAGTCTCATTGAGTCACAAGGACTCATTTTCAAGAGAGACCCGTTAAATAAATGAAAAACCTTTGACTGCAGGGCTTCAGGGTGTCTCACAGGACTGACGCAGCTGGACAGAACATGTGTGAGGCAACAGTTACAGCTGTTTGTAGCTGAATGACGAGCGAGCCGTGTGGTCGCGTTCGCCAACAGTTTCTGGAAACTACGCCCTACAGTTGCGTTCAAAGATTGTATAACTACCGCAGGCCATGTGCATTCTAATGCCATCGCACTGCGACTACTTTAAAAGTGACTTTGTTGCACAACTTTTTCAAACATGTTCAAAAATTCAAGTGTCAGGACTGTGGGGCGGCTGTGGCTGAGTGGTTAGAGCAGTCGTCCTCCAATGCAAGAGTTGGGGATTCAATTCCACCAGCAGTCACATGCCGAAGTGTCCCTGGGCAAGACACTGAACCCCTCATTGCCTCCGATGTGTGTCCCATCGTCGTATGAATGTGATAAAGCACTGATTAATCTTTGTAAAGATCTAGTAGAGTGCTGTATGAATGGGTGAATGAGGGCACAGGTTATAGTGTAAAGCGCTTTGAGTGTCTTGATAAGATAGAAAGACAATATATCAGCATAGTCCATTTACCATTTGTGAGACTTTAGAAAGACGTTAAGTTAAATCAGGTCATCTGGACAGATTCTTCCTGGCTGAAACGTTTCGTCCCTCATCCGAAAGACCTCATCAGTCCGAGGCCCGCCAACAAAGCCTGACGTACAAATAGCACCTTTTCCAAAGTGGTTCAAACCATTCCGCTGTGGAACTGCGGAAACCAGCCCCTCACATGTAAAAAGGGACCATCAGTCCAACAATCGATCATCAGTATATAACAATCAACCGTCAGAGGCCCGATGGCCACTTGCCATTCATCGAACCAGCCTGAGGACAACACAGCCAAAATGATTAAAAAGAGTCCTGATGTAAACTCAAAACTAAATGTTAGCAGAGGCGGCAGCTATAACGGCTTTGAATTAACTCTTTTTTTAAAGATTTTTTTTTTGTGCAGAAGATATCTGATGTGTGTTGATAAATGTTTTCATTCTCTATTATCATTCCTGGAAGCGGTCTGATATAGTGTTATGATAATTCCAGTTTACCGATGAGACTGTAATTTGTTTCTGTGTTGACACGTGGAGATAAATAATTTTTTTATTGTGCAGCGCCAGCCCAGCCACCGCAGAATATTGATTGGACCCTAATTGGCTCTCAGCTGTCTCTGTACTGGGAGCCGGTGGTGGCAATGGAATCAGAGTCAGACGTCACAGGCTATCAAGTGCGTTTCTTTGTGATAACATGTTTATTAATGCTCTGGATATGGCTGAGAGTACACTCAGGCTCCAAGAATGCATATTTAGATTGTGTCTTCCTTTCTTCATTCAGCTTTCATACTGGAGACAGAGACACAAAGAGGTAAACACGTTGACAACAGGCAATTCAACAGCAGAGCTGACCCTCCCGGAAAACGACGAAGACTTTATCATTCGAGTTCAGACGTTGAGCGAAGGAGGACTGGGTCCAGCCTCGGATCCCATACGAATCCACAGACTCAGTAAGCTTTAGCTTTTTATCATTTGTATTTTACATTTTATATTGACTTTTTAAAGAGAAATCACACAACACTTTTTAATTCTGACAGAAACATTTAGTCCCCAACATTACTAATGTCCTTGCTTCCCTCCCTGGGCTCGTCTGGGCTTTTGTTTTGCTGAAATGTGCAGCGCAATCCATCTCTGTCGCCAATTCTCTGTTTACAAGATGTTATTGCTATCCTGTGGGACAGGGTTTTTTTTGCCTTTAAAATGTCGAAGTTCTATTTTGTATCCCTGAAAGCAGCAGTTTAGAGAGAGTTAGAGCTCTTTACTGGCTTTTCTTTTACAAATAAAAAGCTACTCTTTGGACAGAAAGTGAAATATGTAGGCCAAACACATCAGCAGGTAAAACATAAAGCAGAATTTAAAGAAAGTGTTATCTCTAAAGTTGTTCAGAATATGTCTTTGGCATCAGCTAGATGTATTCTGTAAATAAATTGGAATTAATTTTCTCTAATTATAGGGAACGGTTCGTCACATTACAAGAGTGAACTAGCTCACTTTCATGTACCGTATTTTCCGCCGTACAAGTCGCACCGGCGTATAAGTCGCATCAGTCGCATCAGTCCAAAAATGTCTAATAAGGTGAAAAAAAACATAAATAAGTGGCTTTGTCGTATAAATTGCATCTATTATATGTCACCACTGACACATCGCGTTTGTTATGCGTCACCGCTGACCACCCAGAAACATGGGCCGGTGTTGCCCCAAAAATCGATTTGTTGCCAAAATGGCACCACGGGTGTGCTCACGGGAGGACTTTAATAAGAATTTAACTAGAATAACACTTTGAAACAATTATTTGTTTGCTCAAAATTATAGCAAAGGTGTGTCTCAGTTTAACTTTTCCTTATTAAATGCACTTTAATGGTCAAATCAGCTGCATTTCACTTGGGCGACACGGCAAAATGCAGCTGATTTGATGTTTGATCCAGGAGTTCTGGAGTGAAATGAAGGTGGCTTTGTATGGCAAGCCAAGTGTCTCATTAATAGCCACTTTTACCTATCAGTTATACAATTGGCTTGCCAAAAGGCTCGAGGGCCCTCTAGTGGCTGCTAATGGTAAAGTTTAATATTTTCCATGTCAGAATTAATGAACTCGTCAGGTCTCCCCCAAAAATCGGGTTATAAATATGAGGAGAAAACATATATTAGTCACTTCGGTGTATAAGTCGCAGGACTTGCAAATTTATGCAAAAAGGTGTGACTTATACGCTGGAAAATATGGTAGTTTGAATGTTAAGAGGCAAACTGCATTGAGTTTGTTTCCCACTTTAAGGCATATTTAAAAGAGATTTATAAGGAATTGTTGAGGTTTTACCACATGTTCAGTTAGACTTTGGAACATCAGTCTGTTTTTTAAGTTTGTTTGTTTTTTTGTTTACTGTTGTGGGAAAAAAAGGGATTCCCAAAACAATCGGGTGTAGACTTCATCAAATTTATTACAAAGCTTTGGAGAACGGTGAGCAATCACTGAAGATCCATTCATTTACAAGTACACATTTATCAATGCCTTCACCTGTCTGAGGTTCTGATCCGTTCTGACTTCCCAAACTGAAAAGTTAGTTTTGTAGAAACACCCAGGCGCCAGCCTCCCAGCCCCTCCATGCCCTGTCGAGCTGTTATCAGAACCCAGCTGCAGACAGAAGCGATGAGGTATACGGAAAGCCGAACAGCTCCCAAGGGCTCTCTGGAACCACGTCACTGTAATCATATCAATCACACCTTGAGGATAATAAAAATGATCTCTTCCTGTCTCTTTACTGACCGGTCACTTCAAGACTGATTATTACATAGAGTAAAGATCATGGAACATTTTACTATCATTCATAATAACGGTAAAAGAGCAGTGCATTAATACATGAATCAAATAAAAGGATGGAGCATGGTGAGTGCAAAAACACACATTCCCTTGACACTGCTTTGGCTGTTTTTACACTCGTTTTCTGCTCAGTTCTTGCACTTAATTTCAACTTGTGTAGCGTATGTTCATAATTTTAAAAACGTGGACAAGGAGAGGTCTAAAAATAACCTACCAGAGATGGAAAAAAATCTGAAAGTCAAGTCTTCAAGATAAAAAAAAAAAAAAATCCAATGAAGATCAGACACCAGACCTGACAAATGCATCGCTCTCCAGCTGATCATTTACTGTATGTCAGGATTTTGGGTAATAGCTTTTTAGGAATTGTTTTGTTGATGCGTCAATACTAATTCATCTGTCCAACTGTGGAGTGTTTATAAACTGACCTAAAAGACTGGGAACAAACTGTGTCTGTGACCTGCTGCTGGTAATAAAGTGCTTCAAGATTCAATTTGAAATTGGCGATTTGCCAAGTTGTTTGTTAATTGCACACAGAACACCGGTTTAACCCTTGAGTTTTGGAGGATTTCTCTTCCTGAATCAGTTATTGGATCATGTTAAAGGGATAGTCCACTTATCTTTGAGGTGATGTTGTTTTTATTAGTTATCAATAGTTGATGCCTCATCAGTGTTCTTTCACACCAGTATAAAAGAGCATTTAACCCATCACACGTGAGATGCACCCAGGTGGAGCAGCAGGCAGCTATGTAAGCGCCCGGGGGGCAGTTAGGGATTAGGTGTCTTGCTCAAGGAGTACCACAATATATGGGCATGGCGGGGAGTTGAACCTGCAACTTTCTGGTCCCGAGTAGTTTGCACTTCCTCTACACCAGCTAAGCCTATTTAGTTATAGCCTGAATAAAGATAAAATTAAATTAAAATTAAAAACTGCCGCTCATTTGGCCAGCCATTAGCCAAGCCCGGACAAAGATGTTTGCCTCTTTCAGTGACTGATAAGGTACAAACTATTGACAACTACTAGACCAAACATCACTTCAAAGTTGATTAGACTATCCCTTTAAGAGGCTTAACAAGGAAAAATAAAAGATCATCCAACTGAAAATGTTCCTGGTACTGGACTCAATATGATTAGAAATGCAGTCAACGTCTGCCTACTTGAAATGAAGGTATTAAAATAATGAGGGATGACTCAGGACTTTTGCACAGAACTGTATAGACAGCTATGTTGCCAAAGAGACAAACACAAGACTAGAAAGTTCCTGGCGAACCTTTGATGGGGACTACCAGGCTGCTGCCAAATTAAAATTTTGATTTGACAGTCCTATGTTTTAGGGTACGCTCTCAGCTTCCACTATGCCAAGTTGCCACTGAATAGCTCTAAAAATGGCTGAGTTTTCATATTTTATCCTTTTTAGCTAAGGTGGCCATCTTGGATTTTCAATTTGGATTCAGCATATCATAGGGAACGTTCCCAGCTATAACCTCACCAAATTTCAGCTCTGTATGTGTAAAAATGGCCGAGTTAAAGCCATTTAAAAGTAGCGTTGGCGGCCATCTTGGACTTTTGATTTTGATGCAGCATTTGATATAACATCTGTGGGGGTACACGTTGCGGTTCAGGCCGCATTAAAGCTGACTGAAGAGTAAGATATAAACCCGTTTGCAAGGTGAATATTAACAGGCGTCTACCTTTTAAAAGGCAGTCCCCAATTACAAATAATGTAACACTTGGATGCCAGCTGACATCTTGTCGTTTTGATGATGATGATGATTGTGTGTGTGTTTTGCAGGTATGAGTGCTCGTGGCTCCACAGCCTGGAGTGTGGACGTTTCTCCGCTCTCCTTCTTCTTCACCATTGCAATACCTACATTCAGGTCAACGTTGTGACACTACTTTGCTCTGCTTCTCAACATTTACTTTTGATATTTTTCTAATAATTTCTGACAATGGCCATGTTTCCTTTTGATTCTTTTTTTTTTTTTTAAGATAACAGTTTTGTAAAAGTATGCGGCAGTATAAGGATGGAGTGAGCTGTCAGACAATTAATTAACATTAAATGCTTGTTTTTGTTGTTGTTTTTTGATGTGGGTTTGACAATGTTGCCAGATGGGAACAATATTCTACTGCAACTTTTTTGTTTCCTCACTCTAGAGCGATAACAGATGCCTTACTTCCATTCATGTGCCAAAGTAGTTTCAGCCTCCCCCTTGTTATAACGCAGATAGCAACACACTCCTGCACATTCAGCTCATTGCAGTTTGTTGTTGTCGAGGACTCGGTGTACCTTGCGGAGGATCTCAGTGAAAGGTTGCAGTTTGTATTTTTCATAATCACACTTAAATTAGGATGTCTAAACATGTTCATTCACCCATTTACGTGCCTTTGGAGATTCTTGTAACGGCCTCACATAAAGACGCTGGCAGTTATGTCACGGATCATCCTGCACCTGCAGCCATTTTTATTTTAACGCACTACATTAAAAATATTTTATAACACACATTAGTGTATTAACATTTTACCATGTAATGTCTGATTTTAGAAGGCTAAGGGTAACACGAGGTAACATTGTAACACGTCCTCCTCCTTGTCATTTTAGTGGCCAGGTGCTTGACTGACTCGACTAACCTCTGCACATTATTCTCAGAGGGGGTTTTGTTTTACAAAATTAGGACTAAAAATGATCAGCCAACAGAAAAAGTTAAAAGATTTAATTTCCTTGCGCATCAAGAAAACACTAAATCATAATCTGGTTCCAAACGTGAGAATCGGTTGATTCTCTTTACATTATTGAACTACAATATATTTGCATCCATAACCAAAAAGGTTATCCTTCAGAAAGTTATTACATAAGAATTGTCATTACTGTTTGTTTTTAAGAGTTAAACAAGAATTGAATAATGAGTTTAGGTTTAAAGTCTTGCAGCTTGAAGATCTGAGCAGCAGGTGATCTACAAAACTGATACAGTCTCTGTAGCATGGCGCGAGAAAAAGGCTTTATGCTGGTTTTGGAATCATGTGAAATGGATGGGAATGATGTTGGATTTCCAAGTCAAAAGTGACAATAATATTGATTTGACTGAATAGATTGACGACAGAATTTCACAAACTGCTCCACTCTGAAACCCTGACAATATTTTAGCAGCAGGCTGGTTCATCTGAAGGCCTTCAAATGGATTGTGTGCTCGTAGAACATTAGAACTTGTTATGAATTTAATTAAACATGATATGACAGACGGGTTTAAATAGACACTTGTGAACACATGAAGCACAACACAACAGAAAGCCACTTACAGACTGTAACAGATGGGTGAAGTCACCACGGTTCTCAGGTCTAACACATTTCAATTTACACTTTTTGTATGCTCCCCTGCAAAACCTCTAATTTCCCTTACAGGGATCAACAAAGTCACTGAATAAAAGGAGACCGACGCTCCATAGGCAGGGCACAGCAACCTTACTGTGCAACCTGTCGCTGATTCAACATGTTAAATGTGTTAATTCTGCTGAAGACGGGGAAGTTAAAGGGATCTCAAAGAGCCAATGGTGCCTTAGACACAAAACCACACAACAGCTGTTCATCAAAGACCCAGATGTTCTCAGTGCCTGATTTTTGGCTTGGTGCATGAGGCTTCTGTACCCGGCTAATTAAAGAACAACCTAGGACTAAATTAAAACAAGCTGGAGCAAAAGAGTTTTTTATTTAGTTTTTTTTTTTTTGGTAGCCACTCTGTATCAACCTTCGCTTCCTTTGCTCGTTCCTTAGCTCTCTTTGCAGTGTTTTTACTTATAAAAAATAAATGAGTTACATTTTACCAGTCTGAAGTGGCCACGGTCATGTGAGTGCATCATTTGTAGTGCGGTTTTTCCTGTTTCAGCAACTTGAACAGATCATCTCAGTAAAGTACACACCACTGGGTTACTACACAAGCTGCAGTTCAGCTTAATTCATGTTTTGGACAACTTTGGGGGAAAAGTGTCCATTTTTTAAATAAAATCAATTAACTGTTTCAAAATTCAACTTAAAGTAAATTAGATTTAATCCAAGGTTTTGCTGGTCGCACATGGTCGTACAGTCGTACTTTCACAGTAACGTGACTTCTCAGAACCAGTTGCTACATTCTCTCTTCTGTACAGTCAAATGATTGCTCTCACCCAAACCGATAATCTCACATTCACCTCACATCCACTTCACACTCACTTCACACCGCACGCCAGGCATGAAAAGGTGAGAAAGTAAGCTGGCTTTGAACCTCCATCTCATTTGTTTCCTAACACAGCCGTGCATTTACAACCGAGTGAGACCTTGCAGATGTATTTTGTGAAAGACGAGACGCCTGCCATTATCATTAGCTATATTTAAGCAATTATTACATTTTAGCCTTTACTTTTGCCTGGCTGTTCAAAACACATGCACGCATCTTCTTTAAATCTTGTAACGTGTTATTCTCTGCTCATAATCTGAGACCACAGACAGCATCATTCCCAGCTCCATGTTCCAACGTGGGAAATGGAACAAGATGTGAACAATTATTTGTCGTATGTAACGCTTTGAACAACCTCAGTTGGGAAAAATGTAGTTTGATTCTGACCAGACTGATGAGCTAACATTGAATCTGAGTGAGGCTAAAGTCAAAGTGGACTGCTGCCACCTTATAATAAATAAATAATAATAAAAAATGAATTATTAATGTGAATGTTACCCAACAAATCTTCCATCGCAGTCCATTTTACCTTACGAGGTTATTTACACAGAAATCTATGAATGTCTGAAAGTGCACTTTACTGACAGCAGCAACTGAGTGTGGCACTTCTGGACGGAGCTTTTAGGATACTTCTGCTAGAATAACCATATAATATGAACTGACTTTACTGTAAAGATTTACTATTGTACTAACCAAAGGTTTACAAGACAGTGGTGAGACCAGCTTTGTCGTATGGTCTGGAGACAGAGACATTGACAACAAGACAGGAGAAAGAACTGGAAGAGGCAGAAATGAAGATGTTGAGGTTCTCCTTAGGAGTGACAAGGATGGAGAAGATTAGGAATGAGATCATCAGAGGTACAGCACAGGTTGAACAACTGGGAGATAAAGTTAGAGAGACCAGACTGAGATGGTTTGGACATGTCCAGAGGAGGGACAGTGGGTATACTGGTAGAAGGATGTTAGAAATGCAGCTGCCAGGAAAAAGACAAAGAGGAGATATATGGATGCAGTTAGAGAAGACATGGAGGTAGTTGGAATGAAGATACATAGGTAAGAGTGAGATGGAGGAGAATGACCATTGTCCCCTGAAGATGGAACAGCGGAAAGAAAATTATCTCGTCAATCCGATCAGAACTAATCAATATTTCTCCCAATTGGGGTTGTTTAAAAAGCTGTCAACAACAGGTAAGACATTGCGTGTTCAGACCTGCTCCACATACCCCCCCCCCCCACCCTTTTTTTTAACAATCTGAATTGTTCCCTTAAAATTTCAAATCTTTTGGCTGCTTTCATGTTGATTGGATAAACGTGGTCAGAAAACACAGATTTCTCCACCTGGAGTTCTTGGAAATACTGGCATGCATTTTTAACAGAGATTTCAGAGCCTGTGTGATATATGGGAAATAAAACTGACTTATTTATCAATAGTTGGGTAATGGGTGGTGGTGGTGGGGGGTGTGTATTAGTTCCAGTCCCTTTCTACATCCATCTGGGCAACACTCGATCAGTGCCAGTCGATATGCCTCATCAGCCATTGTAGCTGGGACAAGAGTTTTAAAGTGCTGCCAATTGTGCCAGTCTGTTAATTGAAATCTAGCCACCAGCTTAGACATCATTTGGCTCAGTGTGTGGTCAGCTGTGTTTTAATGCTTTGTGAATGTGTCCTTTGTTGTCCGTTGTATTACCGGCCTCCCTTTTTAGTGCGGTGCGTGTCGTCATTGTTTGTTTATGTCGTTCGTTCGGTGAAACCCTGCTGCTCAGGTATTCCAAGGTGCTTCACTCGATCATTCAGCAGCTCCGAAATGACGAGCGAATAGATCAGAGCGGTATTAGCACCGAACACAATGGGCTCTTTAATGTTCTGACGTGATGAATGGAAAGCCTGATATGGGCCATGATTTAGCAGACATTAAAACATCTTAATAAATTAGAGCAGGCCTGAGGGGGGTTCAGTGGGGAAAGGGCATGCGAGTAATGGCACTAATGACACCGGCACAAGACTAATATATCAGGATTTAGGAATCAGGATAGTTCTGTCAAGATGACACCAGGAGAGGTCTGTGTATGTGCGTGTGTAAGACAGTGTGTGTGGGTTTGTGTGCGGTTATTACCTTAGTCCAGGGTGTCATGGACAAGTGATTTCAAGAGGCCCATTTTGCTCTTTAAAGGAAAAATTGTTTAAACCCTCTTCTTGTTCTTAACCATAGCCCGACGAAGCTTAGCGAATACTCAAGTTGAATAGTACAAGGTCAGAGTCAGGGGGTGGGGGTGGGGAGAAAAAATGAGTAAAAGGCCTGTTATTTGTTAAATCATCACAAATTGTCATAGCAAAACGGAGGAAAATCAGCAAAAGTTTCATCTCGCTGGATAAAACATACACTTGGAAGACTGAAAAGAAGTTGTTTTGATTTTTTTCTCTACTTGTCTGATTGATAATTACCTGAAAGCTGTCTTTGGATTTTGTCTTTTTTGTTACTGCCTTTATATATGAGCAACCAATATATATATATTTTTTGTCTTTCATCACAGATCTGTTGTTAAACAAACAGATGCTAACACAAGAACATCATCTTTCTGGCTGATGTATGGATTAAATGAACCGTGGGGGGTGAAAAAAGCAGCATTTGTGTCTTTGGTACATAAAAGCATTTCCAGCCTCTTTGTTTTGTAATGTACTTGTATTGTGGAGATTATTTGATTTTTTTTTTCCTTCTTCTTTTTGCTTTTTTAATGTTTGATATGGTTCTTGGCTGTTTTTGTTTTTCTTCCAAAAAAAATCTGCACAAAGGTCAAGTGTTGTTTGAGAGCCACTTTCTGCCGCTGCAGCTTTAAAATCTTCTTGCCTTCATATTATGGATTATAGTGTCTTTTGCAGGGAAGATGCAGCTGAGGAGACATATGTGGCGTCCTCTTTGAATCATAATCCGAACAATAACCAACTTTTCCTAACAGCTGCTATCACACACAGTCTTTTGGTGTATTGTCCCAAACCCAACTTATTACAAGGTGGTCAACCAACGCACATTGGACAACATCTACTGTTTGTCTTTTTGTACAGCTTTACCTTTTTCAGAAATGTCTAAATTGATTGCGAAACAACTTATTTACCTTTAAAAATCTGTCAATTCGAGCTCCGGGTGACAACGCTTGGCCTTTTTCTCTTGTGACTCTTCAGTATTTTACCGTCCAGGTGATCTCTGTGAGATCGTATCATTAATGTTTTCACATTGAAAAGTCATCAGCTGATCTCGATACGCTGAACATGTGCATGTATGATATTGTTTGGTGCATTTGATGTTTTCTAAATGAGAAAGTTAATAAAAACAGTTCACTGAGATTTTTTTCGCCTGAATTTATTTTTTTTATATATATTTTTTTATATATATTTACTTCTTTTTCTTTGTTTTGTGAATACTAGTGTCATTTTCAGCATCAGCAGTTTTAGTATATTTTACTGCAGGGGGTAGTTTGAGTGGAGCCTTGGAGCACTATCAAAACTATAATAATAATAATAATAATAATGTCATCACAATGTCAGCACTGTATGTTTCCATACAATGGCGAAATTAGTCTCTGCATTTAACCCATCCACCACCAGGTGGTGCAGTGGGCAGCTATTGAAAGCGCCCGGGGGTCATTTTGGGGATTAGACGTGCTGCCCAGAGACGCCACGTGATGTGCAGTGACTGGGGATCGAACCTGGGACTCTCGGGTCCCAAGCCGGCTGCCCTAAGTGCATAACATTATAAAAAAAAATCATATAAATCTGGGTAAAAGTCAAAGAAATGCTCTATTCAGTGGGTAAAGAACGCAGATCAAAGAGCCTTTTGCTAGTTACACTTATTGCACTGTCACACATCATAATGAGGATTATGATCACAGATAACATGAAGAATACAGTCACAACAAACGCATCGAGCTGCTGATTTCTTTTTTAATGCAGCCGTTATCAGCGCACTTTGATGAATTTTTTTAGCTTACGAGTGCACGTGTGTTTACTGAAGTTCAGCTACTTTCCACTGAAACAACAGAATGACATGGAAAGCTGCTGTGAAGTATTGACTGAGTCAGTGTTGCAGAGATGCTTTCAAGATAATAAGAAGGAGAGGACCTTGTGAAGAGATCGATTCGAATGGGAAGTGAAGAAAAGAGAGGTTTCTCCCCACACACCACAGATCATTTATAATGAGCTGGTGTGTCAATACTTTGCCTCTTCACATGCTATTGACCACTGGATCAGAGCACTGGGCTTCTGTTATTTATTTTGGCACCAGACACTAAGAGGAATGTACAAATGTAGGATTAGGATACCCACAGCCTTAGTTTAATGCTGCAAAATACTTCAAATACAAATATAGTAGATAGCTGGTGGAGACATGATTGGTGCATATAACTTTTCCCAGTGCTGCAAATGTGTGGTTTCCACAGATTGCAAATGTAAATACTGCCCCCTGGTGGTTCCAGCGTCCCAGTGCACCCTTCTGCTCAGGCTGAGTGAATGAAATGAGGCAAATTGGGTCTTGCTGTGTCTGCAGTCTCCCTGCATCAAATAGATGCACTGCTGACCAGAGAGTGGTCCTGCAAAATTTGTGGCCAACATCATTTCAAACTCTGAGTCAACATCACAGCAGACAAATGAAAATACTTCAGATATGAGCCAACAAGGCGCCTTGGCATTTACTTGAAAGAGGAGCTGCTGCACTCCGAGAAGCCCAGGCTGAAACAGACAAGATGACGAGAAGCGATAAGGATGTGTCTCTTTGTACTGTGTATTTGAAGCTTGTGTGCATTTTCTGTCATTTGAAATTGTTATTTTTTAATCTGTGTTTATTTTACTATTCTTTTTTTTTTTACAGAATGCATTTGTTTGTGGTGGAGTTTTATTTCTTTTGAGGCTACCTGTCATGATTTTTTTTTTTTTTTTTTTTTTGGTAATTGTTTAGAGTCTCCATGCATGTTTTTAACTTATTTTACAACTCCCTTTTTTAAGGTCAAGTTAAGTTTATTATCATTCACATTACATGTGGTGCACGAGGTGGAACGAAATCAGGGACGCAGTTACACCCAACAATAGCAAAAATATAAAGTGCAAAAAGAAACAATATAAAATGATCTAATATATAAACTAAGATATGATAAATGAATGCCACACAGTATGCCAAAAGATCTAAGATATACGCTAAACACTAATAATGCAAAACAATACAGCGTAACAACAGCAGTCCAAACATGAGTCTGTGAGCAGACATATATAAATAAATGTCTGAGTCATTGGGTTTTACATTTTTGAGTCTATAAGCGAATGATCTGAGTCATTTCAAAAACAAACTTAAGATCAGGAGGTTTAGATTCTGCATTGAACTAAAAGTATATGCTTGTTTGCTTGTTAACTTCATCTAGACCTTGAATTTAAAAACAGCCTCTGTGTTCATTCCGTGCCGTCAGGGGGCGCTGTAGCTTCTTCCGGTTCCTCTGAGCGGCTCCGAAGAAAACGCGACACGGACTGTTGTTTCTTTTGGGCACACATGTACGCAGCAGAGGATTAGAAGATGAAGCCTTCTAAAAGTAATGAGTCCGCGAGCAGTAGTCTTCAGGAGGACATTTCAGACACCACCGAAGAGGGGAATAAGGAGCTGTGCCCCGGTTTCAGAGAAGTAGACGACTTCGTTAAAGTAAGTGAACGAAACCAGCCGTTGAGAGTTAGCACAAGCTAGCAATCGCACGGCAACGTGGGTGATGTCCACGGAGTGAAGTGGTCACAGACCAGGTAGTTAGTTGATTGCAAGGGAAAGTAAATCAGTAAAGAGACGAGCAACGTGGAGACAAATATGACAGTTGTTTTCAGTTGAAGGTGAAGTGGAAGCTAACGCGATGAGCTCGCAGCTAATTAGCTTAGCGTAGATAAAAGTTTATAATTCTCTGACAAATCTGCCTCACAATGTAGACAAATCGTAAAGCTAAAGGTTTTTTTTTCTCCATAACGTCAGTCAGTCACAGCTCAACATTCTCTTCTCAACAGTATGGTTTGGGTGCTGTTTTGTCAGCCACCAAAGCATCATCTGTGTTACCTCAAGCTGGAGATGAGTATGATTTCTACAGGAGCTTTCCAGGCTTCCAGGAGTTCTGTGAAAGTCAAGGAGATAAGCTTCTGCACTGGTAAGAAATGCTCTTAAATTGTATTTGTTCTTAAGCACCATGTGATCCACATGTTCTATTCAAGAATATTAGTATTTTTTTATTAGGGGTGCGAATCTCTCAGTCTGTGTCTGGCGATCCGATTCGATTTCGATTTTTTTTGTGTCACGATTCAATTCTAAATCGATTTTTCGATTCGGAAACAATTTTCGATTCATAAACAATTTTTCTGTTGAAATGTTCATAAATTTAGTTTCAGTTATAACGTATATGTAACTGACAGGCTGAAAAGATTAAAACAACAATGTAAACAAATAGAACATTTATTTAAAACAATCATTTTAGGTTCCTTACTGTATCAAATATTTTTGATTCATTTTATATTTATACCAAAAATAGGAAAAAAATATATAGGAGTGCATAAAATTATGTAACTTAAATTACCAGTATTAGGTTAGCTTAGTTGCCTGACTTTTTCTAAAAAAAAAATAAATGAATAAAATAAAAATCCAGGAACAAATAATTCATCCATCCATTATCTTTATCCACTTCTTCCTTTTTGAGTCACGGTTGTCACTGGTGCCCATATCAGCAGTCACTGTGTGAGGGGCGGGGGACACCTGGACAGGTCTCCAGTTCATCACAGACAAATAATTCATAATAGATCTATTCAAAAGTAAACAGACTTAAAACCTACCATAGTACATTAACCTTTAACTCAACATAAAATACAGACTTTGCAGTTATTTTTAACCATATTGCTCTAACATTTGTTATATACTTAACCTAATATGAAATATACATACTTCACAGTCTTAACCATATTGATTCATATTTAGTCAATATTTAACAAAATTTCAAAACCTGTGCAAGTTTGCACAAAATCTCTTCTGAACTGTAATTTATAAACCATAAATTGTATCATTTAGAACTGGCTCCAGGAGATGTCTCCTCTATCCTCTTCAACCTGTTAAAAAGACAAATTACATTAAGTTTCTTGTATAACTTGTCTATGAGTTTTAGTATAATATGAGAAAAAACAGTTACCTTTGCTGCAGCTGCATCAGAGCTTCTCCCATTTGTTGTTTCATGGTGAAGTTGTGCTGTTATCACAATAAAAAAAATTTAAAAAGCTACGTGAAGGAATAACGTACATTGGATCCATCGTATTAAAAATAAAACTAAACCCCTCACCTTCCACTGAGCTGTCTGATCGTAAATCCTTTGTGATGTAACAGGAGATGGAGAGGGGAATCTTCGCAGCCTTTGGGGAATCAGCTGGAAGTTTGTTGCAGAGTTCGCTAGTCGGCTGCTTTCGCTTTCATCGTCCACAAATTTTGTCATATTTCCAAAAAACAGTACCGCAATTTTATTTTACGCTTCTTGTAAACAACTGTGCTCTTGTGAAGCTCTGTCTTCCCCCCGGAACATTGTAGGATCTGAAATGATTTTTAAAGACGAAGAGGCGGGTTGAATCGCACTGTCCTCCATGCTAGCAGGCTCCATTCAGATAAAGGGAGCTGGCTAACTATCTTGCTGTACGGTGGCCTACACGGCCCAATTCTACAGCGGCCGAGCAGGGAGTAAGAGCGGAAAAAACATAAAACTTAAACGCATTTTAAAATCGATTTATGGGCCTTTAGAAACGATTCGGAATCGCCAGGACTAAGAATCTAGATTCTTAAAAAAAATCTTTTTTTTTCTGCTTTCCTAATTTTTATTTAATTTTTTGGTAGGATCTGCAGGCATGCACTTAGCAGATTTATTGATGAATGGTTTATTTTGCAAAACTAGATTTCCAGTTCAATATTGTGCTGTTGAGCTTTGCCCTTGAAAGCTGATGAAAAGTTTATTTTAGCTATAATACAAATGCAGTTTCTGCAAGCTGTGCTTCAAAAAAAGTGCTTGTATACATTGATATAGTTTGGTTGTAAGTAGGCCTGTCGCGATAAATCAATTAATCGCATGATAAATAAAAATTATCACCTCATTTTCATTTATCTTCTTTATCATTTCTTCATGTCTCTTTCTACTGAAGACACTGGATGACCACAGGCTCAACTCCAGTGTTCTTCACTGACCCCTCACTTTCTCTTTTCTCTTTAAAATCCATTTTAACTGTCCAAAATCGTGTTTTTGGATTGTTAAAAGCAGCTAAGCTGAGAAGCTAAGCTACGAGCTAAACTAACAGGCCGACCTTGGGAGAAAAATATCCGTCTTGTCAAAGCTCCAAAATTCACGGTTGAAACCCGTGCCTTCGTGTAAAAAGTTTTTTTTTTAAAGCTTTGTGTGACAAATGCTATGCTAAAGAGCTCAAACCACACAGAGCGTCCGCCATTTTGATAACTGAAAAACAGGGAGAGACAGCCCGTGTCACGTCAAGGGGCCTCCCTGCCATTTTTCTTAGACACGCTGCTCGCTCCCTCACAATCCATCCTTCGGTTCAGTCCTATACTGCCATCTAGTGGTCAAAAATGCACTAAACTCAAAAAATTAACCAACATTTCTTCTTAAATTTGACAATAATTATTACTTATTGTAAAATTTCAAACAATATTATCGTTTATCGCAATAATTTCTGAGACAATTAATCGCCCAGCAAAGTTTGTTTTTGTGACAGGCCTAGTTGTAAGGCAGGTATGCATAAATAATGGTTAGCAAGGTTATAGTGTTCAGACATACCACCAACAGTGTATGGTTTGATGAGGCAAATCAGTTTTTTTTTTTAATATATGTTTTATTGTGGCTTTGATTAGCATGAGCCAGATAATGCAGCACCATGGCTGCAGATCGTACATAAGGGACCGGAACAAGCTGACAGGAGTGGAGGAGAGGTTCGACTTGATTGTGGACTCCAACGACTTTATCCTTGAAAGAGCAGTATGACCCGTGATTTTGTCATCAAACAACTTAAATAATGAAAACATCTTTACAAACCAACCAAGCTGTGCCGTCTGATTTCCAGGGCATTCTTCTTGATGAAGCCGATGGGGTGAATAGGAACCAGAAGCCTGTCATTCCTGCAGGGTTTCAGCCTGCAAAAATTGTTGTTTCCAGCTGGAATCGTAAGGTTAGCTAATTAACCTCTTAGTTCTGTTGCTGCAGATGCTAGTGTCTACTTTGAATCAAGTTCAAGATAATATTTTCTGTCTGTCCTGGGATTTCATCTCGCATTACAGCACCATTTTTAACACCCACATTTTCACACATATGCCTTAAATATTTTAATAAACATTTTGTTTTTATCAGGGTTCTGGCTCTGGCAGTCGTTCCGAGACATTCCGAATGCTAAACGCCAAGAATGTTGCGAGGCCTCAGCTGAAATTCAAGGAAAGAGTTGACAACAGCAACACGCCTTTTGTTCCTAAAATTTTCATCAAGCCCAATTCATTAAAGCCACTCCCGTCTTGTAAGCTGCACGTTTTACTCTTCTGTGTTTTGCATTATGTCTTTTGAGTTACGATTGAACTTTTCAACCTGTCTAAATTGCTTGATGTCTATTTTTAAATTGCAGATTTCTCCAACAAACAAATGCGTAAGGAGAGGCCAGAGGACCTTGATGTCCCAGCTGCCCTGGCTGATTTTATCCACCAACAAAGAACTCAGGAACATGTTGAAGACATGTAAGGCTTCTTTGTGGTCTTATATTCACATTTTATTCCCTATATTTTTAATTTATTTTGTTGTTGTTGATCAAAGGCTATTGGTTTATGTAGGTTTGCACACCCATACCAATATGAACTGGATCATTTCACAATACCAGAAAGCTTGCTGTCTAAGCCAGAGCCTCAGGTAATTCAGTTGTATATAATAACAAAGTCTTATCATTCACATTAGACTCCTGCCTTATCACTTGTCTAATTCTTTAGATGTACAAACCCATGTCTGAGACAAAGTTGACCTTTATTGACTCACTGGAGGACCTTGTGGCTCTCAATGAGAAGCTGTGCAGCTTGTCTGAATTTGCAGTGGATCTTGAGGTACTAAGATCATAAGTGTTATTCTAATTAAACAAAAACAACATGGATGGGTTTTTTTCATGTAACATGTTTTGTTCTCCATCGTAGCACCACTCCTACAGGAGTTTTCTCGGCCTCACCTGTCTGATGCAGATCTCCACCCGAGATGAGGACTTTATCATTGACACTTTGGAGCTCCGTGGTGAAATGTACATCCTGAACGAGTCGTTCACTGACCCGTCCATTGTAAAAGTAATGAAACTTTTCCATTAATGTGTTAATTTGAGGTTCTCTCAAACAGGAAGATGGAATCACATTTGGAGTTCAGTTACTTTTGGGTTGTCTTTTTATTGTTATGTTTTCATCACAATCTATGTAAGTTGTTGTCAGAGATCCATGTAACCCAATACAAAGAGCAAACAAACCACATACCTATTTGTTTAGATGAACAAATGAGCAAACTCTTATAAGCCTTTTTTCCCCCTAGTTTTATTATTTAGAGCAATCCAGAATAAAATAGTTTTGTGCATTCTTTGTAGTTAGTGCAGCATAGAGTGAAAAATGTGATTTGGTGCATTTTCTTTAAGGAGGGGTAATTGACAGGGGTATTTACAATATATATGTTTATGTTGTAAACCTTTACCAAGCAGCTCCATCATATCCCCTGAGTTAATGCACCTAGTAGTTATTAGTCATTGTGTTCATCTTTAAAAACATCTGTGGTGATTTCTGCAGTGGTCTCTTATTTTGTAGGTTTGATTCTGGTTTAATCAATTTTTTTGTTTGAAAAAAAGAGAAACAACTCTTACTGTGCTAGGCTTTAAAGATTGTGCATGGTTTACAGACCAGCTCTTTAATTAGCTCATGTTCTTCCGAGGAGGGGTTTCAAGAGCTAAATAAAGTGTTGCAGATGGAAAGTGCATCTTCTTCAGCTTGTAGTCCTTTGAGTTTAAAGCTCAGCTTGTAACAGATCTTCCCCAAGTGTAGTAATGTTGGGTTTGTCTTTGTAAAGATAAAACCCTGGTGTTGTATGTCTCAGAGCTGTATCATACTCAAATATGTTTGATAAAGTTGGCAGGTGCCTTGTGGTGTGTGGGAGTCGACATGACTCACACTCTGTGGGACACCTTTGAAAGAAATGTGTTGCGTGGGCTGGAACAGCTGAAAGATTCGCAAAGTGGTTTCAAATGGAAAAAGTCACATATTGTGTCTACAGTTTTTTATTATTTTTTATTATTTAAACAAGTCGAGTAGTTCTGTCAAAAACCTGCTTGTTTGTTTTTTCTTCCTCTCAGGTGTTTCACGGGGCTGATTCTGACATCGAGTGGCTCCAGAGGGACTTCGGCTTGTACGTCGTCAACCTGTTTGACACACATCAGGCGAGTCGAGCTCTCAACCTGGCCAGACATTCTCTCGACCACTTGCTTAAACACTTCTGCAGCGTGGACTCGGACAAACGTTACCAACTGGCTGACTGGAGGATCCGGTATGTTTGATGATGCTTTTTGTCTGCGTTCTTTCACCATTTTAACAGGATTATGTACATAATAACTAAAAATTATACGTCGTGTCCTTATAGCCCTCTGTCAAATGATATGGTACAGTATGCTCGGACAGATACCCACTATCTCCTTTACATCTACGACTGTGTGAGAGCTCAGTTATTGGACTTCAACCACGAGCAGCCTGGCCTGCTGCAATGTGTCTGGAACAAGAGCAAAGACATTTCGCTGAAGGTGTGTAAAGATCTCACTCTTTTGTACACGATCCTGGCAGCTTTGTTCATCTTTAATTTTTGGACCCCTGCATTAAAGTTTCTCTTGTCTGGGTTTGCATTTGGTCTGCAGTTTTTGTATTCTTTTGAGTGAAGCCTCAAAGAAGTTGAGTTCAAGTTAACTGTTCTTATGTTCTTGGCCTCGTATGTCTTTTCTGAATACCAAAATGATCCAGTTGCATATGTTTTATCATTTAAAATTGTTAGGTTGGATGATTATCTGCAGAGAAACTGGATGTTCGTTGTAAATTGATGAGGGCACAATATATGTCCTACAGGTCTAGCAGCCAAGAGGATGCAAAAACGATGATTACTCTTTGAACAATACGCATACTGAACCTTTTTTCTTTAACTTTGGTATAATTTTAATGGTTACACATGAAATTGTAAAAAGCTTGGAACGTAAACTTGGATAAGCAACTCCATTATTGCCTTAATAAAACAGATTCTCGTATTTTTCACTGTGTAACCACAGTTTTTTGCATAAATTAGCATGCATGTGACTTTTACAGCGAAGTGACATATTTATGTTTTTTTGCCTGTGTTTATAACCCAATTTCTGGCTGAGATCTGAGATTTCATTCATTCTGACATGGAAAATATTGAACACTACCATTTTCAGCCACTAGAGGGCCCTCAACTATTATGGCAAGCCAAGTGTCTTATTAATAGGTAACGGGCTATTAATGAGACACTTGGCTTGCCATACTAAACCACCTTCGTCTTGCTCCAGAACTCCTGAAGCAAACGTCAAATCAGCTGCATTTCACCGCGCCGCCCAGGCTAAATGCAGCTGATTTGACCATTAAAGTGCATTTATTAAGGAAAAGTTCAGCTGAGACACACCTTTACTATAATGTCGAGCAAACAAATAATTGTTTTTAGGTGGTTAGCTTGTTAAATTTTGAAGAAATGCACAGCCAGTCATCCCTCTGTGCACTTCCGTGAATCGGCTTTTGAAATGCAGCTGATTTGACCATTAAAGTGCATTTATTAAGGAAAAGTTAGACTGAGACACACCTTTGCTATAATGTCAAGCAAATAAATAATTGTTTTTAAGTGTTAATTTTGTTAAATTCTTGTTAAAGTCCTCCCGTGCACGCTCCTGCGACCGCCAATTGCCAGCCAATTGATTTTTGGCAACACTGACCCACATTTCTAGGTTGTCAGCGGTGACACTAACAAACACTACGCGTCAGCGGTGACGCATAATAGATGTGACTTATACAGTGAAGCAACATATTTATGTTTTCTTCCACTTTATTAGACATATTTGGACTGATGCGACTTATAAGGCGACAAGTACGACAGAAAGTATGGTAGTTAAAAGAAAAATGTCCAGCTGCTCTGTCTAAATTGAACCTAGTTAAATGTGAAACTTCTAACCAATGATCAGCTCTGAAAAAGTCTTTTGGATGAAAGTGGAAAAGAAACAAGAAAAAAAGTTCAGTCATTCATGTTTTACCTTTCAGATAATTTCACAAGCTCTTATATTTTTTATTACCGTACCTTACCAAAGTTTCTTATGCCATTCATCACTGTTCACTATGTGACCCCACTCTCCCCTTTTTAACAGAAATATGTGAAGCCAATATACACAGAGGAGTCTTATTTAGAGCTGCAGAGGAAGCAGAAAAAATCTCTTAACACCCAGCAGCTGACTGCCTTCAGACTGCTATATGCCTGGAGGGACAAGCTGGCCAGGCAGGAAGATGAAAGCATCGGGTAGGCTGTGTGAAATGGATGGACTTTCTGTTCTTGAAATCTATTACAGCTATTTTTTTTTTTTTTTTTACTTTTTATTTTCAGAGTTTGCACATATCCACATTTTTGCAGCTGATAATGTTAAAACAAATTTAGCCTTACCGTGTTTTTACGAGCTCATTTGTGTGTTCAGATATGTTCTGCCCACTCATATGATGATCAAAATATCTGAGGAGTTGCCCAAGTAAGTTATTTATATTTCACTATTTAAAATTCTTTTAGAAGTTTTTCTTCCCCATCTTTTTTGATGTCAAAGGCTTTTGTGTTTATTGAAGACATATTTTGTCTCGCCTCCTCAGAGAGCCTCAGGGCATCATCGCCTGCTGTAACCCTGTGCCGCCGCTGGTGAGGCAGCAGGTCAATGAACTTCATCTGTTGGTGCAACAAGCCAGAGAAATGCCCCTTCTGAAGGTGAGGATAGATGGCAGCAGCAGGAATGTAGTTTTTGTTGTCACCTGCCAATCAGCGTGCCTTAATCAGTCGCAATTGTTTTTTTTTTCCTCTCTCCTTTCAGACTGAGATTGCAGCTCAGAAGAAGAAAGGACTCACGCTTATTAAAAAGGTTGGTCAGATCGTCAAAAAACCTGGTGGACTTTTCGGTTTTCTATATCTCAGTAGCTGATCTAGGAATAGTTGGAGTAACATGAACATACTTGTGACGTTTTCAGCCAGAAGTCACATTGTTTGGCCCACATGATACATCCAGGGTTTCTGAGGGTGAACTGCCCCACTCCACACCTGGTGGTAAGTTTAATGCTCGTCTGTTGCACCTTTTGCAAGTGATATGTGTTAGTGCTGTGAACGTTTATACGTTTTCAGAAGGGGCCGTCAAACAAGGAATACTGTTCTCAGAAGATGTTCATATCATGGATGTTGATGAGCAGAAAACAAGCGGTCTCTTGGCTCCACCTAAAATAACACTGTTCCAGGTAGAGACCAACTTTTCAGCTGGTCTGTTTAACTTTATTTATGATGCACCTGTTAAGACGCTTGTTTCTTTTTAAAGGAACCAGAAACTCCTCATGACCAGAAGTCAGCCTCTGTATCTCAGATGAAAGCTAAGCGCATCATTGACTCTTTTGAAAACCCTTTCAGAATGGTAAGGAAGGTGGAAAAAAACTAAATCTATATAACATTTAGTTTTTTACATTGATATACTAACTGTTTATCCTCTTTTCAGTATTTGCCCTCAAGTGATGTGCACGTCAACAAGAATGCCAAGTTTGACCCCTCATCAAAAATATTTGAGGTCATTAAAAGCTCATTTCATGGCTTTTTCATAACAAAACAAATTTGAGTTAAAAATGTCTTCTGTTTGGTCATAGCTGCTATTTCTCACGTTGACAGATTAGCAAAAGATGGAAACTGCAGAGTATTGAACAGCAGGAGAACGAGCTGGAGGCCAAGAGGAAATCCAAGGAGGAGGCGAAGCGACGGGCAAAGAAAGTGGCAGGTAAATGGGGATTAATCATCTCTGAAGTGGACATTTTTAAATAAAGTTTTACATTATTATTTTTTTATTTCTACAGAGGAAAGGGCTAAGGCTAAACAGAGCTACCAAGAATCTCTCAAGAATGTTGCCACTGTGCGGCAGCAAGCAGCAGTGAGTCTTTTTCTCTCCTGTTTTTCCAGTTACTCGTTCTTTTTTTTTTAACTCCAGATGAACAATACACACTATTCCAGGGAAAGTACAGAATTGTTGAGAAAAAGAAACAACCTCAAAGGTCTTAAAGGTGCTATTTTACTAAGAAGCATCTGGATTTCCTTTGTCCTCTCGTTAGATGCATCTTTCCTTTTGAGGTGAAACAAATGCTGATTTCTCCTTCAAAGACTTAACTCTTTATTCTCTCTGGGCATCTTGGCTCCCACTGAGTTACTAAATAGCACTTCCTCTTCATTCTAAAGGCTCCAGTATACTCGCACGTCCTGTCAAACGCACGGAAACTGTGCGCACCGTCCGCAGAGGGTTGAGACTTCATAATCGAGTGTCCACCCTGAGCAGCTGCAGTCAGCTCCACGAACAAGGGGCGTTTACCTTCGGGACAAACTGAGGTCGCCAATTGGTCATTTGCTGACACGCCTACTGGATTGATTGACAGGTCACAAAAAAAACGAGAGCTAGCAGCTGCATCAGTGTTCTGTGTTTATATGTTGTTAATTAAAAGTTCTAAAAAAAAAAAAAACAGGGAGCGCTGGCCCTGCAGCCCCCACATCAGACCAGCCCACCAGGAAATCTCCAGACCCTCCCACAGCCGTGCTGGACCTGATTATAATTCGCTTGTGACAAATTCCTTCATTTTTCACCTTTTCAGTCATGGCATCATCAATGGAGGAGGAGGAAGAGATCACTGCCTCTTGGAGAAAAAAAAAAACTAAAGAAAAAAACAGATCAGGGATGAAGAAGGGAAATTTAATTCATTGGTGTTGCATACAAAACAGTCCATCGCTGGGCAGTTTGTTGTGCGACACCGAGTACGCGGTCGTAAAAACAGCTTTGCACGGACATGCCCTGCGGGCGTCCACTTCGACTCTGATCCGGTACGTGCAGATCTCCACGGACTGACATACGCACAAGTATACTGGAGGCTTTAGTGTTTTTTTCAAGGTAAATGAGAAGAAAGCAGGGTCACTTCCCTTCGACTATTACTTTCCAGTTTTACTCGTTTACCTCTGCAGTGTTTCCCCTACCGTCATCCAAGGAGGGTGCCCCGCCCTGTCAACAGAACCGAGCGCCCTGCCTACTGAAATGTCCTTCACGCACACCCCCATCGACAACTGCCGGCACGAACATAGTGCTAAGCTAGCAGCATACAATACAGACGCCTTAGCTAAAAAGCTACAGATATAGCACATCTGTAGCTTTTTTAGCAACCCGCCCCACACACACACACTCGACATCTGCCAGCACTAACATAGCGCTAAGCTAGCACAACACAGACATGTTTCCACCCCCAACAAAAATCAAGAGTCAGAGAAATTTATTTGTCATACACACCACACGTGATACATGAGGTGGGATGAAACTGTGTACATGGGGTCCGAATCACCGAAGAGATGAGCGCCATGTGAAGGCAGGTGACCGAGGGGAAATGGTGCTCTCCCCTTCTTAAGCACACATGATCACCAGTCTAATTCCATTTGTGATGATGGTTTAAAGACTCCTGGCGCTCGGCACTGCATGCACCATAGACAGAAAGGTTGGCAGGAACACTTGAATGTAACCTTCATCAGTGTGCAGAGTGCAAAGAAACGCTGGCTGTGATATTAGCAAACTGTCGCTTTCAGCCGCCTGCAGCAGTGCAGTTTCTCTAATTATTAATTTAATATTGTTAGTTTTGCAAAAATAGTGAAAACCTACACATTTTATTTGTTTTCTTCAGAGGCAGCTTTTAATCTCTTACTCAATTCAGCAGGTTACATTTATAAGTCAAACCTATGCTTTTTTAAATGTATTGATAAAAACACATTATCCAAGCTCACATTAAATAATTAATAAGTATGACTGTTATTCCTTCCTTAAAAGATTGTTATAATTGTCTTTTTATTAAAATAAGATCTGGTGCAAATGGAGAGAGAAATGAAGTGTTCAGCTTGGACATGGCAGATTTACCAGGTGTTGCTGAATGTTTATGGTTCTTCATGAAAGTCACTTTTAGCAAGTAGATGTCTAAAAGATATCAGTGACAATACAGAGCGCACATTGGTTTAATAAAAATCAAACTGTACCTTAAAGCATGAGCTAGGTGAATACATTAATTTCTGAATAGGTAGTAAATGTTTGCAAATACGCTGTGCTTGATTTTGTATATGAAGTTAAGTAATTATACAAAGTAATTGGTTATTTTAAAATAATTTTTGCCTGTCTGAAGAATTTAAACAGTTTGAATGCAATACTGTTTGTATTACCTTGACCAACTTTACATAAGCTTGCTTGTACAGCATATCAACAGACATAGTATTTGTTCAGGTATATTAATCCAGCCAGTTGTTAGTATAAAGACAAACACTGTTAGCATAATAAACTTGTTCTTTGTTTCATATAATGTTCTGACCATTTTTAAGGAATTTGCAAAGGATGGGGGAAAGAAAAGAGAAAGGGCCGACAGTGAGGTTGGAGAGAAAACTCCTAAACCAAGTAAGAAGCTGATGAAGTCAGAGAAGTCCCAGAAGACAGAAGTTCCCAAAGAAGACTTCAAACCCTTTGACTACAACCAGTCAGATCTGAAAGTTTTTGATGGTATGCATATATGTTTGTTTGTTTGTTTGTTTTTTGATGATGGAAAAAGCACTTCCTGGTTTTTATACAAATTCAGTTGTAAATTCTTCAAGTATTTGCATTGGACTGTCCCCCTACAGGTGCCAAACCTAAGAGCAACACACAGTTTGATCCAAACCAGCAAACCCATGATTTTAAGAAAAAGGTATATTTTTGATTTGGTTTCATATGAAAGATATTTTTAAATACATATTCTTTTAATGCTTGATTAATTTAAACTTTCCGCCCAACAGAAAATGTCTCAGGGACAAAAAAACAACTCAGCTGGAAACAGAAGTATGTCATACTTGACTGGCAAGTCAGAAAGGTAAATATAGCTCAGATTCTTTTCCTCTGAAACATTCTCTGTTTACAATGTCATCTTTTTTTATTTCCTACAGAGGCTTTCGCCATAACTGGCCCAAGAGATAGACTTCCTGGTGCTGTTTTTCACTTTTTTTGAAGTCGTCATGAAAGTTTTCTCCTTGTAAAGGAAAGTATTCATTTGGAATGTAATACTTGGAAGTGGATTTTTTTTTTTTCCACTTGTAAACAAACATGTTTGTAAATATAAGTACATGGAAACAACTCTTAATAAAGTTGGTTTTAGAAAACAATGGTCAAATTTATTTTATTTTAATAAAACACGGTCATTCTTTGTATTTATATATTAATTGATACAAATGCAATGGTAATATTGAGATCAACCACTTTATTACAAAAAGTAAACTGTCAGACTTTAAGTCTTGCATGGATGTTGTCTTAGTCATGTGAGAATTTTGTCATTAATTCAATCTCCTTTTTTTTTCTTGCTCAGAGTAAAAAAAATACAGCCTTAAATTTTTGTCCTCCAAACTTTGTAACTTGGAAGTGAAAAGTCTGAACTGAAGTATATTTGTGCTCTTACTTTTTACTTTGTTAGTTTATTAACTGCTAAATCAATTCAAATTAAATATCTTCAAAAATGAATCAACTGATAAATCCCAAGCATTATTTTTTTTCCACTGTTTTACATTCCAATTTTAATAGCAATCGTTTTCAGCCAAAGTTGCTTCAAATTAGCCAATAATTGGTTTTAAATGAAAAAATAGAGGAACTGACCTGCAGTGAAACTTATTTGGAGTTGAGGAATGATGGAGCAATTAATGACAACCATCAAGATGGCATCTGGATCTTATATGAGAACACCAGTTTTAGTGTTTTATGTCAGTTTAGCCTCTACTAGTCTTACTGTACTCACAGTATGTCACTTGCTTCACACATGGTCACTTTATTTAGATGTTAGAAATGTGAAATGATGTTAGAAATGTTAGGAATATAGTGACAAAATTCACTATATAAAGTAAAATTGAACAAGAATGACTACAAACACAGAAATGGATGCATACATAAAAATATCATACCATACCATACCATACCAACTTTATTTATAGAGCACTTTATGCACCCAACAGGACCAAAGTGCTTTACACAATTATATAATACAATACAATGATAAAATGGAAGGGTAAAATTTAAAACAGGAATAAAATAATAAAATAAAATACAAACACAATAAAACAAGGTAAAACATCTCAGATTGTGCTAAAAGGCCAAAGAAAAAAGATGAGTTTTAAGAAGGGACTTAAAAACCTCAATTGAAGAGGCCTGTCTTATGTTCAATGGAAGGTCATTCCAGAGCCTGGGAGCTATCACAGAAAAAGCTCGGTCCCCTCTAAGCTTACGCTTTGTCTTCGGGACCTTCAGAAACAACTGGTCAGCTGACCTGAGTGAACGAGAGGGTGTGTAAGAATGTAGCAGCTCAGACAGGTATGGAGGGGCATGGCCATTTAAAGCTTTAAAAACAAATAAAAGTATTTTAAAATGAATCCGGTAATGCACCGGCAACCAATGTAAAGAGGCCAAAACAGGAGAAATACTGTCAAATTTCCGTGTACCTGTTAAAAGTCGTGCAGCTGCATTCTGAACCCTCTGAAGCTGGGAAATACATGAATCACTAATACCTATGTAAAGTGCATTGCAGTAATCTAGCCGTGTGGTCACAAATGCATGGATTGCTGTTTCAAAATGCTGTCTGGGAAGAATTGGTTTTACTTTAGCCAGCTGCCTCAAATGAAAAAAGCCTGACTTTACAACTGTTTTAATTTGAGACTCCATCCTAAGACCAGCATCCATCTTGACCCCTAAATTTGTAACAACTGGCCTGACATACTGAGCCAAAGAGCAATCAACAGGCAGAGAGTCTTCATTCGAGCTGCCAAAAATCACTACCTCTGTCTTGTCTTCATTTAATTTCAAGAAATTTTGGGCCATCCATGCCTTCAAATCCTCCAAACATAGAAACAGAGACCGAAGAGAAGTGGAATCTGCTTTCTTTAAAGGTAAATAAATCTGTGTGTCATCAGCATAACAATGAAAAGCAATCCCGTATTTCCTAAAAACAGAGCCAAGAGGAAGGAGATACAGTAAGAACAAAAGAGGACCCAAGACTGAGCCCTGCGGAACACCACATGATAGCGGAGCAGAGGATGATCTATTGCCATCAAGACAGACACAAAAAGTGCGTTTTGTCAAATAAGACTTAAACCAGTCTAGAGCTGTTTGACCAAGGCCCACATATTGTTCCAGACGAGCAATTAAAATCCTGTGATCAACTGTGTCAAAAGCAGCTGATAAATCCAACAACACCAAAACAACACAGTCACCAGAATCAGTTGCCCAAAATATATCGTTAAAAACTTTTAAGAGAGCTGACTCTGTGCTATGAAGTGATCTAAAACCAGATTGGAAAATCTCTAAAATATTATGTTCAATGAGATAAGACATTAGTTGCTTATAAACTACCTTCTCAAGAATTTTCGAGATGAAAGGCAATTTTGAAATTGGTCTGTAGTTCGCTAGGACAGCAGGATCCAAATTTGATTTCTTAATTAGAGGCTGGACAACTGCATGTTTCAGATTTTCAGGAACAACACCTGAGGACAAGCTACTATTAACAAGAGCAAGGATCGACAGACCTATAGTATTAAAAACCTCATTGAACAGTCGAGGTGGAATAGCATCATCTGGAGAACCAGTTGGCTTCAAGTGACTAACGACCTCCTGCAGGGATTGCAAAGTCACACATTCAAAGCTATTAAAAACAGCAGGGCAAGACACAGTATCAATAGGGTCATACACAATGGGTATGATCTGTGCCCTAATAGAAGTGACTTTCTCAACAAAAAAGTTTAAAAAGCTTTCACAAACAGCAGGGGAAGTCTCCACAAAAGCACCATGTGGGGCATTTAATATCAGACCAAATAAAGCAATAATTTTTATATGCAAGACCATTAAAGTCAAAACGACCTACATTACTGGTCTTTTTGTTCCTCAATTCAGTTTAATAAAAGTCTGCAGGCATGGGAAACAAAAAAAAAATGCTTTGATTACCGAAGGCTAATAAGTCCTTAGATGCTTTGTTACACGGTCCAAAATTATAAAATTAGCTAAAATACCTAAATTAGTAATAAATTGCTTTTTTGGTTTTTGGTTTCAACCAGCATTGTCTCATCACTGTTTGCACATGCGCAGTAAGGAGATTCCTCCGTTTACCTTCACGTGGCCACTCGGCCGTAAGGGGGCGGTGCCAAAAGCGACGTCGAACAAACTATGCGAAGCCGGACACTTTCAATTGGCTGGCTGGTTGGCGACCTACTACGTCAGAGGCGTCCCATTCGCGATAATCTGAGGCAGCATGTTTATCTGTCAGGGAACGGCTTTCTCGTAACTTGGAGCTCACACTCACTGCCCACACTTCCAAACACGTTAGAATTACCTGTGGCTGCTGCTGGCCGCTGTCATGGACCGCATTAAAGACGGCTGGTTTACGGAGTCCTGCGCGTTGTGGCCAGGCCAAGCAATGAGCCTCCAAGTGGAAGAAATTCTATACCACCAGAAATCCAAATTTCAGGATGTTCTGGTTTTTAAAAGGTGAGCGGTTTAGTCTGTTTAAACATGGCTGTTGATGCTAGCTGTTAGCTCGCGGGTCAACTAACACTGAGTAAATCGGAGCTTGTTTCTGCGGTTAAGATACGTGGGTTTTATGCATTTTATTTTTTTACCTTGTCAGGTTGTAACGCAAGTTTAGAAAGTAATAAATATTTTCTATTTATCAAATTTCAAATCTGCGTGGGACGTGTTTATAGTGCCTCACAATGCACTGTCACTTCCCAGTAAAACGTATGGGAACGTGTTGGTGCTGGACGGAGTGATCCAGTGCACGGAGAGAGATGAGTTTGCCTATCAGGAAATGATTGCCAACCTTCCTTTGTGCAGCCACCCTTGCCCCAAGAAGGTACCTCCAAAACATGCAGTGCGAGTTAATTTAGGACGATTTATTATTTCATGTCGAGACAGATGGTCCAATAACTTCCTTGTATTAATCCTGACAGGTGCTGATCATTGGTGGGGGAGATGGTGGTGTGCTGAGGGAGGTGGTGAAGCATCCACTGGTGGAATCGGTGATTCTCTGTGAGATTGATGAGGTGAGAACACTTACCAGTTGTAGATGTACATCCATTGACATTTCCTGACAGTTTCAATAAAAGCAGTCCAGTGATTTATAAGATATTTTGGGGACAGAATTGGAACACATGTATATACTATATGTCTATCACGGTGCACTAAGATTCATAACTGGCTGTGATTATCATACCCATCATTGCACCCTGTATTTACTGGTTAACTGGACATCACTAACTTCACGCAGACTCTCACTGGTACATTTTCATGTTTAAATCACTTCTTGGTCTGCTGCCTTCATACATCTCCTCCTACATGTCTCTGGGTGAGTGCAGTTACAGCGTGCGCTCTCAGGACATTATTACCTGCAGTGTTCCCTCAGTGAGGACTGAACTTGGCAAAAGGGCCTTCTCCTACTCTGCTCCTGTTTTCTGGAATATCTTACAAAAAGACCTGAAGCGCTCAACCTTGACCTCTCTAAGTGGCTTTAAGAATCTGTTGGACTCCTGGCAGGGACAAATGCAGACATGTTCCTGTTTTTAGTTTTCTACATTTGCTTTATAATCTAGCTGTTTTTGATATTTTTTACCATCTTATTTTAATTTGTATAAAAAAAAAATCTGTATGCCTCTTTTGTGATCGTCTATTGTTGTCGTCGCTGTTCATTTTGAACGTCTAGAGGACCAGACTTAACTTTTTTTATACACACTTAAGCTAAAATCCAAATCCTCTACCTTGGACATTTACAAAATTAATTATTACTTTATTTTCCTTCGGCTTTTCCCTCTTCAGGGGTCGCCACAGCGAGTCATCCTCCTCCATCTCACTCTGTCCTCTGCATCCTCTGTCCTCACTTCAACTACCTCCATGTCTTCTCCATCCATATCTTCTCTCTGTCTTTTTCCTGGCAGCTGCATTTCTAACATCCTTCTACCAGTATACCCACTATCCCTCCTCTGGACATGTCCAAACCATCTCAGTCTGGCCTCTCTAACTTTATCTCCCAGTTGTTTTTTCATTCAACATTTATTTATACAGGTTAGTCTCACTGAGCCTTGAGGACTCATTTACAAGAGAGACCTGTTTTAACAAACAACAGTAGACGGTCATAATAAAACATGTAGATTGAAAAATAAATGGAAGAAAAATTATATTAAAAAAAAGAAACCCAAACAGTGATATAAAATACTAAAAACAGGAACATGTCTGCGTTGGTTTTTGCCATGAACTTAGCAATTGTTTGATGCCACTTGTTCAACCAGTCCTGCACTTCTGATCTCATTCCTAATCTTAAATGTCGTTATCACGGCTTACGGAGAACCTCGCCATCTTCATTTCTGCCACTTCCAGTTCTGTCTCCTTTTTGTCAATACCACTCTCTCTCCAAACCCAATTGTACAATGACTAATAGATCTGAAAACACCTCCTCATGAGTGTTGCGGTCTTTCACCTTGTAGGATGTCATCAATGCATCAAAGAAGTATCTTCCTGGAATGGCCAAAGGCTTTTTCAGTCCCAAGCTCACCCTCCATATTGGGGATGGCTTTGAATTCATGAAGCAAAACCAAGATGCCTTTGACATCATTATAACCGATTCCTCCGATCCAGTGGGTAAGTGCCACTTTCCGGGTTTGATTTGACCTTTTTCGGTTCCACCTTTTTTTGAGGATAATCTCATGTACTAGTTTTGTTTGTTTTTTTGCATTGCAGGACCTGCAGAGAGTCTGTTTAAGGAGTCTTACTATAAGCTAATGAAGGCAGCACTGAGGAACGGTGGCATACTTTGCTCTCAGGGTGAGCTTATGTGTATTTGGTTTTGTATTAAAGGACTAAACGGTAATGTTGATAAAGCAAAGTCCTAAATGTGACACCTAAAGGACTATTTAGCAACTTTAAATCTTCTAAAAGGACTGAAATCTCCATGAATTTGTTTCTGTTTATTGGCTTCAAACTGTTTTTAAGATGAACTTAAAGAGTGAGAGCACGTTTTTTTTTTTTTTTTTTTTTTTTTTACAAAGACTAAATCTAATCTTTTCTGTCATTTTTTACAGGAGAGTGTCAGTGGCTACATTTGGAGCTGATAAAGGAGATGCGAACCTTCTGCAAAACCCTGTTTCCAGTGGTGGACTATGCTTACAGCACCATCCCAACTTATCCTAGTGGCCAAATTGGATTTATGCTCTGCAGTAAAAACCCTGTAAGTGTGCCGGGCCTTTTTAAACGTCTGTCTAATGTTCAAGCATGGTTGCATATAAGCGACAGACTTATAGGAAAGCTATTCTTAACTCGTCTGTTCTCACTTTATTTATACTGATTATTGAATTATAACTTTTTTTGTGTTAGGAAATAAACTTCAGGGAACCGGTGAAAGCTCTGTCTAAGGAAGATATGGAAAGTATGAACCTTAAATACTACAACCCTGAAATCCACAAAGCAGCATTCGTCCTCCCTGAGTTTGCGAGAAAGGTAAAATGGGATTTCTTTTTTACCTGCTGCACCGACCGTATTTAATTCATGAGGACTTGTAGGTGCTACGTGTCGCTAAATGTGTTTTTGATCTTTACCAGGTGCTTAATGAAGCGTGAGCTGCAACAGCTGGCACGTTTCTTCTCTGCCTGGCTCTGACCACCTCCTCGTTCCATGACTTCTCAACATAGGACCGCATCACTCAAGAGAAATCAGCTGGTGGGAACTTGCTGAGTTATTTGTCTGTTTCCTTCTTTCAGTCTCGATGCCTTTTTACCGTTTACTTTCTTTCTGTTTTGTGTTTGTCCGATCAATATTCTGTGGATACCAGTAAGATAAGCTGGTCTGAGTGGGCAGACCGATGCCATCAGAACCTGACCTCACTCCGAAACAGTGTACTGTTTTAATTGTTCAACTGTATCTGCACGTCATGCAATATGTTACCATACGGAGTATATTCTATACTGCACATGTGTGATCTGCTGCATATTTATCCATGATGTTTGTGTTCATATGAAAATATGCAGTGTCTATTTATCATAACTGGGCATTCAGGTTACTACTTATTCTCTAACACCAGAATCCTTTAGTGCCAGGTGTTAGTACTATGTTACAGAAGGGAGGGGGATATACATATTCTGTATCTGTCATAAAGTACCTGACAGGTGAGTCCTGCACAAAAGCTCGAGAGCCAAGAGTTGAGAACATTTTTAACTTTTGTTCATGTTTGACCATTTATTTAAAATAAAAACGGTTTGTATTGTTACAGGGCAAATCATAATAAGATCAAATGAGTTTATGGAGCAGTGCAAGAAATGCCTTTTTTTTTTTTTAAAGAAATTATGCACTTATAGTTTGCAGAATTGGGCATTACCCTCTAGTAGAATATTGTCATTGTAGTGAACCCGTACTCTAACTGGAGGTGGAAATCTAATGCATAATCTTAGCTATTTCATGTAAAAGCTAATTTACTACTTAAGTCAGCAGTAGCTTTGAGTCATGATGTCACACCTGAGCAATGAACTTGTTTTTATAAGAACTATGAATTATAATAAAATTGGTATCAAACTTGACTTGCTTTCTCATATTATATTTTTTTCTTCATAAAAAATAAACCAAAGCCTTAAATTGTTGCCTACATTGCAATATATGTGATTTATGTAAAACCGTAACCTGTCTAAAACTTTTATAGTTGGTGAATTACAATCCAGCAACATGCTGGTCTATTGAACGCTTTTTGAATCCAGTGGTGGCGCAGAGGTTAGAGAGGTGGGCTTGTGATCCGAAGATCGCCGGTTCACGCCCCGGCCCCGACAACATCAAAATTGTGGGTGGGGTAGGTGAAACACTCATACTTGCCCCCACCCTCATTCGCCCCACTCTGGGCCCATGAGCAAGGCCCTTAACCCCCACCATGTGCTCCCTAAACAGGTCTCTCTTGAAAATGAGTTCTCGTGGCTCAATGAGACTAACCTGGATAAATAAAGGCTAAATGAAAAAAAAAAATGAAATTTCAGTCATCTGTTCTAAAAAGTCATGTCTGGTGTTTAGTATTAGTGACTGCAATACTTTGTGACCACCAGGTGGCAGCCTTGAGTTTTCTGGTTAAATTAATCTCAGCTAGTTTAAAAAAAAAAAAAAAATTCTATTTAAAATAGTGTTTGATTTTCTTGAATTTTAATAAAGCCTCGAGGCCATGTGGAATTGTTCAGTGTTTTTAGTATGAAGTGTCACAATTGCATCAGCTCGAGTCATTCCTGAGGAAGACGTCTGCTTTCACTGGTTTTCTATTAAACTGCCCAGCCTGCACCAACATCATCAGCATCGTGCAATAAAAGGTGGTGCTCTCAGCTGCACTATACAATAGCTTATATTTAAGTTTCACACATCTTAGCTGAAATGTTATGTTTGATATTTGTACGAAAGTTGTGTTCAGTTGAGTGATTATGAACCATACAGTACATGTTGCAAACATCCAGACGTTAATCACATTAATACTATCTTGAAGCATCAGTACCAGTCATCATTCTGACATCTTGCACTGTTTGAAGTTCTGCCCTTAAGTTGCAGCTTCTTCAAACACTGAATTTTCAATACCATAACCGTTTCAACAGTCAGCTAATCTTAGGATTGGGCTCTGGGCTGTGTTCAGATCAGAAGAACGTACCCCGCAAAACTGTTGTGAAGGCAGGACAAACTAAGCTGAACGTATCAAACAAGGCAAAGCGAAATACAAGTACTCCATGTTCCCTGCCAGGGGCTCACTTACAAAAATACACTGAACTCTTGTTAATAGTGCCGTTTAAACGATTACCAGGAGCTTCACTAACATCATTTATTGACTCAAGTATGTAGCTGATTTTTTTTATTGTGTATTTAACTTTTCTTGTAGTTTTTGGTGAGCCACTTCTTTTAGAGTAAATTACTTTTTTCATTACAATTTAAATAAATGCACTTGGAACAGTACCATGTCATGAAAACTGTAATTGCAGTGATTGGTGGAAGTGTTCCTGACTGAGTCCGTGCAATGTCCAGCACAGACTCGGACCTGCACAGACATCCAACGTTGACTTGTCTTTTGTACTCAAAACATATCTGAACCTTGAAATGTTTTAATGATGCTGTGGGTGAGGAGGTATTCAAAGTCTTCTCAGTTTTTTGTTTTTAAAATTGTTCCACTAATTTTGCACTCAGATTTTTGCAGAGTGCTGAACTTCTGCCATCTTTACCTCAGAGACGTTCAGCCTCTCTTAAAGTGTTAATTTTATACCCAGTCCTCTTACTGACCTTCAGATGAACGTTAATTGTTGTAAAGTCCTAATCATCCTACTGCCTTCTACAACTCGTTACCTCTGTCCCAACATTCTTTAGATGTGTTGCTACCACATAACTAAATGACCTTATTTTATTGTAAAACAAACAAAACATATCT